AAAAAAAAAAAAAAAAAAAAAAAAAAGCAACTGGGGTCCGGTCCCACCTACCGTTGTTGAGTTTAGAAAACTTAACGGTGTGATGCCATTTCGACATTAATAAATTCGAAACACGAAACGAAAAAACTGAAAAAAAACGCTAGAAAGTTGAAACAACTTTTCTCCTTATTTTTGATAACGTAACTCGGAGAAATGAAACATGTCTGGAACAGTCGGAGTGGATGTCTCCGTGAAAAAGGGATACCGTGGTGAGGGGACAGAAGGTCACCTTTTGTAAAATGGACAGGGACAACGTGAATGGCCAGATGCATTCATTAATGAAGCATTTGTCGTTACTCGGACTCGGATCTTCGGATCGTGTGTTTGTGTGATTTCACCCATTGCTGAAGCCCTTGGTAACCTGCGGAGGGCAGACACTTCGCGTGGTGGTCAAGAAACCTGGAGTAGATACGTGTTTCTAGCCTTGCTGACGTGGGCACAATGGCGTCAACAAATCAGCAAGGCGGCAGCGGGAGCGGAGGAGGAGGTGACCAACCTCGACGTGGCCCTCCTACTTGCTACAGTTGTAAGCAGCCGGGCCATTATGCTCGGGATTACTGGCTGCATTGGAAGGACAAGTGCGAGTCATTGGAAGCAAAAACGGGGACGGACTCGCGTCCACGGCAGCGAGGTCGCTCTACCTCTCCTGTGAACCGGCGATGGGAGCCTGCTAAGAGATCTCCTTCAGCGGACAGTGTACCAGGGTCGGATAGTGTTAAAGACTTAGTGACCCTTTTGGTAGCGAAGGAGGAAGCAAAGGCTCACAAAAAGCAAGAGAAGGAAGAAAGGGAGAGGCAAGAGCAAGAGAGGCTCGAGATGGAGAGCAAGAAGAAGCGCAGAAAAGAGAGACGCAAGAGAGAACAAGACGAGAATAATCAGCGCTTGACAAAGATAATCGATATCCAATTTTCGAAGAGATATGGCGAGAAGTTGCAAAGGACCGAGGGAGTGGTGGAATCACCGGAGAGCAACAATTATCGAAGTCGCAGAAGGAGGGAGCAGAGAAGGGCGAGGAAAGCTCGGCAATGTCGAGACAAATATTACCTTTCATCTAAAGATGAGCTGTCGGAGATTAGCCACCGGACTGGACGTTTGACCATCGCAGATAAGCGGAAACGGGGGACTACTATCGAGGAGGAGGAATCACTTTCTAGTCCGGGCAATATACTGCTCACGGACAATAGAACGCAAAGAGGGAGACCGCCATTATCAGCGAAGAAGATGAAGACGGGCCTGAAACCGATCACGATGAAGAGTTTGCGGGAAAAAAACGATCCTGCAAAAAAAGGAGTCATGGCGGGCTCAGGTCCGGGAGCCAGAGAAAGGTTCATGGAAGATACGATCAAGTATCTTGAGGGCCTAGATTACCGTGAAATTCGAAAGCTAAGTAAAAGCGCAGGCGTAACATACGTACGGAAAGGGAAGGGAGTGGCCGCCCTGGCCGAACATCGGGCAAGGGATGCTTTCGTTTTTGGGAAGGAGAAGGTAGGTCTGCATGCGTACAAGCCGCAATCGAGGGAGAAAGAGGAGGTGGTATCAACATCGACCTCAGAGTGCAGTTAGTCGGACGAAGTCGGGACTTCGTAAGAATCCGAGACGGAAAACTTGGACTGAAGTGGTTTTAGCAACGAAGATCTGTGGGAATGCTGTAGGACGTTGTCTAATCTCCGACGTTCAACTTTGCCTGTCAGGAATGATGTCGAGGATTTCTTTCGTTGGGTGATTGTTGCACTTGCCTCACGGGCTGTGTACCATGGTTGACTAAGTTTGTTAACGACTGGGGTGACCTCTTGGAAAAGAACTCATCGGCTCTTGACGATCCGTGTAGCTGTGTGTATGTGGGGGTTTCGCCGTGGTGTAAGGCCACGTATGGTGGTAAGACGGAACGGTCATTGTATACGCGATGGACTGAACACAAACATAGGACCCATAGTAATGATATGCAGGAAGGTGGCGCGTGCTTTAAATCATCTTTATAACCAGCTGCCTGAGAGAGTCCACTTCAATCTCAATGCTGTCAGCAGTTTAGGTGGTCGTCCGGCTAAAGCCAATGTTTGCATGAAGAAGGCTTACCAGGATGCTGAGGTGATGGCCACGTCCTACGATATTAAGGACATGTTTAGCAGGCTTAGTCATGTCGAGATACGTTGTGCTTTGGATTGGATTTTGGGTTGTTTTTGTGATGGGGAGGAAATTAGAGTTAATCCAAGGGGCAAGGGTGTCACATTTGGAACCATGTTGTATGCCTAATGGTGGAAGGTGACGAGGGAGGAGATTAGGACTTTTGTGGACTTTGAGCTATCTCATACATACACCAAGGCTTCGAATGTTTTGCTCAGACAAGTCTTCGGTATCCCTATGGGAAAAAGTATCAGTCCGCCACTGGCATGCATCATGTGCGCGCATGCTGAGTGGCGGTTTCTGGTCTCCTTCGGAACAGATAGAAAGCTAGCATATGGGGTGAGGCTAATGGACGATGTGTCTATTTTTCTGGCCTACAAACGCGGGGATGGTAAGTCGATCGCGACGGCAAATAAGATCAGGAGAAGATTTGAAGGCTGCTATCCTAACTCACTCACTTTGAAAAGGACTGACGATTGTTCAGGTACTTGGGACTTTCTCGGATGTTCCATGGAGGTGAGGTCGAGTTTCCCGTTTTGGGGACGTTTCCAGAGGATAAAGAATCAGGACACGATCTGGGACCCCAGTGAGCTAATTTTTAGGACAGGCCAGAATTTTAACTCATGGTCCTGCAGAAGGCAGAAACTGGCTTCGATCACAGGCTGGCTGTACCGTATCGACCGTAACACGACGGTTCGAGAACGGATCCCCCAGCAGGTTCTTACCCTGAGGAAGGAGTACAGGGCTAAGAGTTTCTCGAACAGTTTTTTCGGGAAGGCCCTCGATAACTTTGCGCGAAGCCGTGACTCGGTTTGGCAATTGACCGTCAGTCTTCTTGGCAGGGACTCGGAGTATTTTTTTCCATATATAGTAGAGTTAGACTACGGTCTAGTCCTCTTTCGACATGGCGCCAGGCCTGTGCCTGGTATTGGGAAGTGACGAGTTGGTACAGTGAAGGGAGAAGTATGGTGGAGAGTTGAAGTGTTTTCGCGACCTCCTGGATTTACTCTCTCTAATAAAGCATTTGTCGTTACTCGGACTCGGATCTTCAGATCGTGTGCTTGTGTGCTTTCACCCAGATGCATTCATTGCCCAAAGAAGTAAACCAGCTTTATGCGAGAGAGCCAAACGCAGCTGTCAGAGTTCCTCCGTTTCAGGATGTAATGATGTCTAAAAAAACAAAAAAAAGGAAAGGCACTGCTGTTGAGAAATGTACCCTGCCCTTGAGGGTAGGGTAGTTTTCTCAATGGAAAATGATTTCCCGCCCAAACCAAATGTGCCTGGGTGTGTTGAAACTTTTCTATGATGTGAGGGATGCCGGACCCGTTTTTCGGCTTTTATAATTTCTAAAGCAGCCGTCATATGAATCAGGTCGCAGTGCCTGGATCATATGACATTTGGCTGCCATTGTTTGAAAAAAAAAGAAAAAAAAAAAAGAAAAGGGCCAAAGCATACTACAAAACGGATTTCACGTCAAAGAAAAATTATAGACAAAGACAAAATCTAATAGGTTATTCTCCTGTATTTTGGTACCATTAGATCGCAATACATCAACGGCAGAGCTCCGTCCCACCATGCCGCACGTGATAGAAAGCTCAGCGTTGAGAAAACTCAACGCTGTAGGTGGGACCAGACCCCTGGGGCCGGTCAGTTCTATGATTACATCTCCAGGCCGTAATAGGGAAAATTTTGGCGGTGTATCTTTCTCGATTTATGTGTATCATCCTTGCACAGGGTCGGGCCTCCCTCCACTGCCCACCACATGCACAAAAAATAAAGAACACAGCAGTGTATCTTTCCATGTTCTATGCAAAGATTCGTTTTCATTTTGTGCATTTCGTGAGTAGTGGGAGGGAGGCCATCGAAAGTGCATAGAGTAGCGAGAGGATGAGATAGAATATATACAAAAAAGAAGATTGAGAGAAGAATATAGATTACCTTTCAAAAAAAAAAAAAAAAAAGTACAGTGTAGTGACTGTAGTACTCCTGTAATTTTTTTTTTCATCTCGCTTATAATTTTCGTGGGGGGCCTCAAACGCACCTTTTCGACCACAGCCTTCTTTTCTTTTCTGAAGGGGGTGACGGGTCGTTCTCCACACACGTCGTGCGCCGCACGAGATCGGTTGGGCGCGTGCGCCGCATGTAGGGAACCGCCCGCACGACGTGTGCTTGCATGTATGGGAAAGATACATTGCCGTCTGTTTTGTCGTCTGTGCATGTGGTGCAGCGAGGCCCATGAGAACGAATATTCTGCTAGAACATTGGATGATACACCGTCATATTTTTTGTCTTTTTGTGCACGCAGTGATACACCCCAGGGGCCTCGTCCCGCTACGTCCGATTTACGCTTGTGCTCCGCCGTTTTCGACCACGTGCGGCTGCCTGTGACATGCGTGAGTCGTTGATCATTTCGTGTATCCACTGCTAGTGTGGATTGTCTTTGTTTTCGTGGATGCAGCTTCCTGTCGGCCAGTAGAATTTTTTTCTTAATCATTTGTTGGCCACTTAGTTGGCCACTTTACGTTGGCGTGAAGCTTCAATTCTACGGTTTTTTAAGGGGGGGGGTGTTTTTGAAGCTTCGCGTCTTGCTATTTTTTTTCACAGAAATTGAGAATATTGAGATTTCCGTGGAAGACTGCGAACAGGCCGGCGGGAAGGTCGCATGCAGATGTACCGGGTTGGTGGAAGTGTGGATGCATAGCGTTGGCCTTGTTTTCTTTGCATTTCTGAAAATCAAAAAAAGGATTCTTTATATGTTTTTTTTTAAAAGAAGCGGCCGCCGCACACCGTTTTACGCGATGCTAATGAGTCGAGGCCCCAGAAGCGGAAAACGACAAAGCAGTGCCAGCGCAGCAGCCCTCACAACGACCACACAAAAAAAAAGGAAAACGACAAAACACTGTCAGCGTAGCGGACCCCACAACGCCCGAAAGAAAAAGAAAGCGGCGCGTTTCTGCTTGTTTTCGAAGCACAGCCGCTACGTACTCATATTCGAACATGTGGCGACAGGTTCAAAAATGCGCCAGGCAACTCAGGGGGCACAGTGCCGCGAGCCCAACAGGCTATGGCAATTTTCCCAATGCTGGAAGCCGGGTCTCGCATTACGGGCCCCGCGGGAGCATCACGCGAGACCAGGGGCGAGGTCCCACTAGCAACGGGATAGGATAGAAACGAGTTTGTGGGGCAGTTGAGTGACCCAAATCCTGCCGTGCAGTACTCTTGAGTGATCCCACAGTCAGTATTTTACATGAATTACCCGAAAAAGTAAGGAGATCTTCGTTCCCCTCCTCCTCTCCTTAACACTGGGCATGCCCGTGCAAAGAAAGCTTCCCGCCAGAATCTGTTCAATCTGTTGGGGGTGTGGCCAACCCCAAAGGAGGGTGAGGTTGGCCTTAGGCCAGTATTTTACTTGCTGTTGTGCAATTATCTCATTGGGTGGAGCCCTCCTTCARTCACGGAGTATATGGAGGGTGTCAGGATCAGTGCTGACGGAAGTCAAGTTTATTCCAGAAAATGTGGCGGTTACTTYGTTCACTGTTGTTGCAACCACCACCATCAGATCATTTGTGATCTGATGGCTGGGAAGCACTCTGCCGTGATTTCCGGTGGGAGGTCTCTGTTTTATT